CAGAGGCACTAAGTTCTATAAAACTTCTGACAACAGTGTTGTAAGCCTGACAGTTAGCATGTGAATGCCAAGTTCCTTTCTCTGTCCTTCAGGATGTATGCAGTGCTTTTCGGCCCTATGTCAATAATGGAAGACTTGCATGCACACGGGAAAATGATCCTGTTCTTGGTCCTGATGGGAAGACACATGGCAATAAGTGTGCGATGTGTGCTGAGTTGTTGTGAGTATTGTCATCTCCAGGTGGACCCAGTGAGGGTGCACTTGGTTGTTGTTCCGGATCATTCCACAAGGAGATAAAGTCCTTTTCATGAAGCACATGATCCTTTGTCTTTATAATGTGAAATAGCCCTTTCTCCCAGAAAGGCTATTCTGTTTCTTCAGATCATCTACTGAAGTTTCTTAAAAGGGGAGGATAAGGTGGTCGTGTTAGTTATTAAATTTGAGATTCAATTTTTTTAAATTACAATGACTTCAAGACACAAAGTGTTTTATAATGCACAATATTTAAAAATTTAGAAAGCACTTTCATGTGGAATTATCTACATCTGTCGTTTGATGTGCATTGCTTTGTTTGAGCATGCGTAGAGACCCTTACTGAATAAGGAAAGTCTAATTAAAATAATAATAAAAAATTTGCTAGGCATCTACCTAATGGAAAAAAAGACATTCCATAATAAGGACATCTGCACTCGAATGTTTATGGCAGAGCAATTCACAATTGCAAAGATGTAGAAACAACCCAAGTGCCCATCAATACATGAGTACATTAATAAAATGTGGTATGTGTATACCATGGAATGCTACTAAACTACAAAAACAATGGTGATCTAGCACCTCTTATATTATCCTGGATAGAGCTTGAGCCCATCCTCCGAAGTGAGGTATCACGAGAATGGAAAAACAAGCACCATATGTACTCACCATCAAATTGGTACTAACAGATCAACACTAAGGTGCTCACGTGGAAGTAATATTCATTGGGTGCTGGTCAGGTGGGGGGGTTGGGGATGGGTAAATTCACAACTAATGGAGGCAGAGCACACTGTATGGGGGAAGGGCATGCTTGTAGCCCTGGCTTGGGCGAGGCAAATGCATTACATGTATCCAAAATGTTTTTACCCCCATAATATCCTGAAATAAAAAAATAAATTCTGAAAAAAAAATTAAATGATTTATAGCTAGAGTTCATAAGTTGTCTTAAATAATGAAGCATATTTAAACTACTTACCTAGCATCATTTAATGTATGAATTACCTCATAGAATTGTTGTGAGATAAAATAATGATTAAAATTCTTTTGGAAACACCGAAAAATACATATAAATTCAGAGAAATCTAATACTCTCCTAATTATAGTACATTTCATTGGCACAAAATATTTTTTAGTAACATTAAAGCTTATTCTTTCATACTTTATGGGAAATATGATAGCTACTTGCCAAGTATGGCTATTTAATTTTTAAATTAAATTAAATTAAAAATTCATATAATCAGTCATACGAGCTACATTTCAAGTATTTAATAGCCACATGTAGCTAGTGGCTACAGTATTCAAAAGCACAAATATCAAAAATTTTCATTATCACAGAATATTCTTTAAGACAGCACTCTTTGAGAAGAATGTGTTTTTTAATTAATCAGATTGACTTTAGCTTGTTCAGAAATAGCTCACTTGCCATTCCAGGACTGAGTTCATTAGGATGTGTAAGTATGTTTTATGTATGTGTTTTAGTTATTTGAATATGTCATAAGATTCTTTTACTTGTTAACATATAGGTACGGAAAAGATAAAGGCTGAGAAACAGAAACAACCTCAATTCCTTTACAGCAGACTTAAAAATACAGAAGTTGAAATAACTATCAAGAATTTGCCTGCTGCTCTTTGGGTAAAGTAAAATATTATATATGAACAAGCCAATGAAATCAACCTGTGCAATTTTCTAATAGTGAACTTAAGAAAATAATCATAAAATGTTCAACTTAAATCTTGGTGGGACTTCTGAAGTCTTTTAATTAACCTATTCATTTTACAGATAATGAAAAATAGGACCTGCCCCACCTAAGTGGTGTAGCCAAGAACTTGGCTAATGTCAGAGACTGGTACCAGTTATTTTTTTCTTTTCTTTCAATTTTACGTTTATTTTATTTTGTGTTTATTTTCCCCCTGCAGAAATAAATAAGGCATTTAATGAGATGACATATAGGTATCAACATTGTCTCTTTAGTATGTTTAATTGTCTTAGAAGAGAGCTCTAGAAGTTAAGAAATATTTCCACAAACATTTCCATTACATAGAAAATATCTTATCTCAATATAAAATGGAGAAATCTTTGTTTCTCTAGGTGAGAAACAAGGTCTACATTGGGGAGTTAAAAAAAAACAAACAATGTTGCTTATAGAATTGTGTTTCTCACATACAGATTTTTTTCCAAATTACTTAGTAGAACTTTTTGTCAAATCAAATCTTATGTTCCTAGGAAAATGAGTTTCTCCCTCCCTAGTGCTTTGATAGATCTTTGATTAATTAATATAATATAATAATATATGGATGCTTTTTGTTATATTAGTTTAATTCTTCCTACAATGAATGGATATGTTGTATAAAATCAGAATTTGTTTTTACTTATTTCTATTCACTAAGTGTTTATCTTTTTATTAAATTATTGTTAACAAATGACCATGAGATCTATGGAGGAAGGAAAAGGAGAAAACTTTATTTTTAGAGAGATAATCTACAGATCAGGGAATGTACCCTCTGGGGAAACCAAAAAACACATGTTCTGAAGAGGGGAGATGGAAAGCTGACATTTATATCTTTTAGGGTCTGTCTTGCCTGCATATTTAGCTGGTTTGGGAAAATCTATGTATATTTATGAGGGAAGATTGTGATCAGTGGGCAAACATATATGTAACATACATTTTATGTTCATTTTAGGGTGGAGTTTTAACATTAAAATGAGGTGGAATTTGGTTCTTTCTGTCAAAAGGTGAACTATAGGGCATAAAGACGTTTTGTGCAGTCTCTGTAAGCCAGCTACAACTGGCTTCAGGTCTGTGGCTGTTTTATCAGGAAAGAATGTCTGCAAGGTCTCTCCTGTCCATTTGGAGTTGCTGGTGGGACCACAGGCAGGAGGTGGGTTGAGGGGTCCAGTCAGCATGTGTTGGGTGACCTACTGGGGTCAGTTGGGAAACTCCCAGTTGTAGCTGTTTTGACAGTTTTTTCTTTTTTTTTTTTCAGACAGAGTCTCACTCTGTTGCCCTGGCTAGAGTGAGTGCCGTGGCGTCAGCCTAGCTCACAGCAACCTCAAAATCCTGGGCTCAAGAGATCCTTCTGCCTCAGCCTCCCGAGCAGCTGGGACTACAGGCATGCGCCACCATGCCCGGCTAATTTTTTCTGTATATATACATTTTTAGCTGTCCAGATAATTTCTTTCTATTTTTAGTAGAGACGTGGTCTCGCTTTTGCTGGTCTCGAACTCCTGACCTTGAGCGATCGACCCGCCTCGGCCTCCCAGAGTGCTAGGATTACAGGCGTGAGCCACCACACCCGGCCTGTTTTGACAGATTTTTAAGGGCTAGTTTCTGCTCAGTTACAGGAAAGAAGACTTTATGGTAGTTAGTAATACAGGGGTATGTGACCAACCCCTCTCCCTGCTATGGCCACTTGATTCCATTTCCGATATGCCTCATTTTAGCCACAGGGAGTCTGATTTGTGTGTCAGCTGGGAGTATATTTTAACATACCTCCTTTGGGTTGAAACCTGCTATAAACAACCAATTTATGACGACCAATTTATGTCATGTTCCATATTGGTGCCTAGGTGGTATGGTTACCTGCCCTGGGTCCAACAAGTCCCCCAGTGGGACTCATGTGGCATGGAGGCTTATAGCCAACTGAGTAACTAACTCAGGCCATGCAAAGGAAGGGGTAGACAGGCATTCATTAGTTCAGGTAAACAGGTAGAGAATTGGTGTAGCTTATAAGGCTTTAGGGTAACATTTATTTTTAGCTAACAAGGAATTACTACAAGTTTATCTTATCTGTCAGCTCTGTAAGTTGTGCTACTATGATGTTGGTTTTAACAGCAGACTTACAGCAGTTGGTCATGCATATCATAAGTATCTTAACTGACAGGAAGAGAAGATAGAGACAATGATTACGACAAGGGTTTGAAGAGTAAGATGGGAGGAAATGTCCCAGATGCATGGAAAGGTAACTAAATAGGTCACTGAGAATATCAGTACTTTGTACTTCTTGTAACCATTTGGCCTATTGGATAATCTTGTCTAGATGGGTCTCTACTTCTCCTGAGGTGTTGACATAAATACAACAAGTGGTATGGGCTATTGTGCAGACCTCTTGTTTGGCAAGGAAGAAGTCTAATGCAATTCTGTTATCTAATAGTACTCGATCCAGGGAGTTTAGGGACCTTTCTTGGGGTGTGATGCTTTTCATGATGTTTTCAGCAATTTGACCTACTGTGACTGACAAATTTCTTATCTTTGTTAGTGTATTCTCCATACCTCAGAACAACTATACCTAAGAGGCTCTGCCACCAGGTGTCTTGATAGCCTCTTGGTAACTCTCTTTTGGCCTTATGGAAGTGAAAAGTGGGATCATTTTTATAATTGAGGTGATTAGAGAAAGGGGCAACATAATGATCAAGAAGGCAAAGCCCTTCGATTTGCTAGCATTTATACACCTTTGTGCCCAATTGTGGGTTGGCAGGTTAGACCCGATGCCACACACAAAAATGTGTCTCCTACGGGCACAAGTTATACCCCCAATGGTGTGTCTATTTAGCTGTTGATTTATGGGTAAGGTGTTTCAAACGCCAGTGAGCAATGTATCAGTTTTATTCTAGGCTTTCTAGAAACCCATGGAGGCCTCATATTTAACAAATGGGAGTTGCTGGCATAATTTACTTTGGTTTTTCTGTTTTGGACAGTCAGTCACCAGATATAGCAGTGAGGGTGGGAGGCGGGGAATCTGAGAGGATGATGGTTTGGAAAAGGTGAGAACCATAATATGTTTTTTATCTAAGTTAGAAAAATTCATCTGTGACTGGTTTGGGGATAGCTAGACCCAGTGGGGGTGACATTATTAAGCAGGGGATAGAAGCAGGATCTCACTTTAGGTGGTGAATATGAAAAGTAACATTCAGAGGGGGGAGATGTAAATATATGGTAACATTTGGTGTGTCAGAGAAATTGATCCCTGATACAATGAGTGGTATATAATGATCTTAGATGGTCCTTGGAATTTGGCGACAAATCCAACATTCTGAGAGATTATCTCCATCTGCCACACTTTGGGAAAGATTAATTAGTGAATTATCTTTCCAAACCTGCAAGAGCTTGACTAAGAATGAAAAAAGGTCAATATAGTTGTGATCATGAAAAATGGAGAGAGGATGGCCATTTAAATTATGTAAGAAATTGAACCAAGGGAGAAACCTTGAGGCATGGAGTCCCATATGAACTTCTGAGAGTTACTAACTAAACTTTGGGGTTTTCTTTAAGGTAGTAAAGTACCTGGCTGATGAGAAGTGACAATATTTTTTGGATTGAGCGTCATGTGTTTTAGAGAGAAAGTTTTAAGGCTTAATGGTAGAAAAGTGGCTCGAATATGGGTAGACAAGGGAGGTTTACAGATGCTTAAATATAGGAATACATGGAATCACCTTAGCTTGACATAAGATGTCTGGTATACACAAGATTCCTAAAGTTGTAATAATTAAAAAAATTATAAAGTGTGCATAAGGGCCGGACATATTAGTTTACAATAAACAAGGTGAAAGTAAGTATCCTATTTTACATAGAATAGTAACAATTATGAAGACTCCTAAAGCAATTACCACTGTAAGGTAAGTATAAGCATTCATCTGGATACAGGCCTTGTCCGGAGTCTCGCGGGGATGCAGTCCACCTCAGCTGTTGGCACCTTTTCATCTTGTCATTGAGCTTCAGTCAACTTGAGCTCAGTGTCAGACACTGGGGTGGAAGTCCAGACTTCTGCAGGTGTCTTTTTTAGGTGGGATATGTGGATGCAGGAGTCAGTACCCAGATTGGGCACTATAAAAGGATTCCACAACCTTGTGGTGGTTTTTAGAGCATTAATAAGTGCTTGGTAGTAAGTTAGAAATTCTCCCTATAACTGAGCAGAGGAAAGCATTTCTTCAGTCAGGTGCATAGATTGACCACTAGCGATGGTTAAAAATCTGACGAAAGTTTACAATTGACAAGGAAATTTGGTTATTTCTATTATATAGCATGTTAAGATAATAACCAGAATTATGACTAATAACATATTAGATTTTCTATGAATTTATATAATTTTTGAAACATTTATATTGACAATATATCCATAAATGCAACTAAAAGAAGACATAGTATCATTTATTTTTTGAAAATGTTTCTTATACAATTCATCAAATAAGCCTAATCATTTAATATCTCTATAAGATGAGAGATATATCCTTTGAGGCCTTCCAGGGGCCCAATTGGAAAATTTCAAAGTCAATTCTACGTTAAAAGTACTTAATTTAGGATTTGGTTTGGGGGAAGTTTCTTAAAGATATAAAAAGGCTCAAAACATTTGATCAAAATGCAATCATAAGTTACTATAAAATAATAGTCATTCATTTAACCAGAATGATAATCAAAAACTTTAAAAGCAAATTAGAAAGCCAT